ATTGTATAGCCAAACAGTTATATTTATCGAATCCGCTATTTACCATCCGCTACCCACTTTCCGCTATCCGCCATCCGCCATCCGCTATCCACTAACCGCCACCCCCTACCCGCTACCGCTATCCGCTAATTGCCACCCGTTACCCGCTGTCCGTTGAATTTTAACCGCTGTACCAAACAGGCCCTAAGTTTACCTGACAAGCAATTCAAAACTACACGCATAAGAATAGGCCCTACCTTTTGGTTTCCATAAAATGAAAACATAAAGAAGCTCTACTTAACATTTTAAGAAAATAATGCGAATGGCGCAAGCTACACCCCTTTCTTTTTTTCTTTTTTTTGGCAGGGACAAAAATAAAAAGATTTAACCTTAACTGTGGCAAAATAAAAAATCCTAAACTTAATTGGTTTCTTGTTCTACCACAGCTATTGAAAATTGTTGTAGTCCATATTATTAATTAATTTTAAGTTAAATATGTTAAAAATCAAGGATTCTCGAGAAGAAAAAGATGAAATGAAAAACTGAATCTCTTGTTAAATTGAAAATAATCCAGCCTTTAAATAGGCTTTACAAGATAATTTGATCTAAAAAGATAACTAATCAATCTTATCTAATCTAATTTAAATGATAACAACCTAAAACAAATAAATAACTTAAACTTCCTAAATTATAGAGATAATGGCTAAATAATAGGATCTAATTTCCAACAATCCCTCTTTTAAATTGAAAGTCTTCATACTTTAGTTTAAAGGAATCTAGATAACACCATATTTGCAGATCTACAATCTGAAATCTGCAGACCCTCCCTCAAAATGAATTCTGCATGTTGCAAATACCAAGTAACTCTCTCAGTTTTGAAAAAGCTGCTACTTTGAGGGATTTTGTGAATATATCAGCCACTTGATCTTCTGTTCTGCAATAAATCAACTCAATGTTCCATCTACTACCAAGTTGCGCAAGAAATGATACCTCACATGTATATGCTTGCTTCTCCCATGCAAAACTGGATTTCTAGAAAGCTTGATGGCTGAACTATTATCACAATAAATTGAAGTGGCCTCATGTTGATTCAACTCAAGTTCTTCCATAATTCTTCTCAACCAAATGGCTTGACAAGCACAAGAAGTTGCTGCCATGTACTCCGCTTCTATTGTGGACAAAGTGACAATGGGCTGCTTCTTTGAAGACCATGAAATTGCACCAGATCCCAACATAAAAACAAACCCAGAAGTGCTTTTTTTGTCATCCAGATCTCCAGCATAATCACTGTCTGTAAAACTTGCGAGATCTGTCTGGTCACCCTTCTTGTACAATAATCCAAAATCTGTAGTTCCACATAAATACCTGAGAATTCTTTTAACAGTCTTCAAGTGCAACTCCTTTGGATGCTCCATATATCCGCTAATCAAACTTATGCCATGCATTATATCTGGTCTTGTTGTTGTCAAATACATCAGACTTCCAACAATCTGCGTATACTGTTTGCTGTCCACAAATCTGCCTCCTAGATCTTTCACGAGTTTTACACCTTTATCAACTGGTGTAGTGACAGAATTGCAGTTCTTCATTTGAAATCTATCAAGAACTTCCTGCACATATTTTTTCTGACAAACAAAAATTTCAGAATTTGATTGTACTACTTCCAGACCAAGAAAATAATGCAACAAACCAAGATCTGTCATATCAAATTCAAGCTTCATAGACTGCTTGAACTTTTCCAACATGCCAAAATCATTTCCAATATAAATTAAATCATCAACATATAAGCATACTATAATCAATTTACCTCCATCTCCAAATTTGATGTACAATGTATGCTCATAAGGACACTTTTGAAAACCTTCCTTTAAAAAATATCTATTTGACTATACCAAGCTCTAGGTGCTTGTTTTAGTCCATATAATACTTTCTTCAATCTGTAAACCTTATGCTTAGATCCAGATTTTACATAACCAAGAGGTTGATCAATAAATACTTGTTCTTGTAGATTTCCATGCAAGAAGGCAGATTTCACATCAAGCTGGTAGATCGACCATGAGTTCTGTGTTGCCAATGCAATCACTAATCTAATGGTATCCATTCTTGCAACTAGAGCAAAAACTTCTTAATAATCAATGCCAAACTCTTGCTTGTAACCCTTTGCCACCAAGCGAGCTTTGAATTTGTCAACTATCCCATTCTCTTTGAGCTTTGTCTTGTAGATCCACTTAACACCAATTGTTTTGTGCCCTTCTGGAAGATCTGTCAACTCCCAAGTCTGGTTCCTTTCAATAGAACCAATTTCTTCTGCCATGGTTTTTTGCCACTTTTCTTCTTTAACAACTTCTTCATATGTCAATGGATCACAATCTACAAATAGGGCAAAATGATTAATTAGAACATCATCTTGAGGTAGATCTGTTACCTCATAATCTTCCAACCATGCTGGTCTTCTCTTTTTGCGTTGAGGTCTAGAACTAGTTCCAGATTCCAGTTCTGGTGTTGTTGGCAGACTTCCTTCAGTATTGAGCTCTACTTCTGTAGGCAAACTTTCTTCAGCTGTCTGTTTTGAAACCTCGAGATTTGCTGAAGTTAAACCTCCAGTCTGTTGTGTTTGACCTTCTGAGTTCTACACAGTCAGATCTTCTCCATTTTCGAAATCTGCAGGAATCTGTTGCCCAGATTTTTCTATCCAAGACCAGGTGCTTGCTTCATCAAACACTACATCACGGCTAATGATGATCTTCTTGGTTAAAGGATTGTATAATCTATAAGCTTTGGACTGATCACTAACACCAAGGAAAATACACTTTTCCCCTTTGTCATCAAGCTTACTCCTTTTTTGATCTGACACATGTGCATATGCTATGCACCCAAAAATTCTAAAGTAATCAACAACAGGTCTACGTCCACTCCAAGCCCCTTCTGGCCTCAAATCTGGAAGTGGAGATGTGGGACTTCTGTTCAAGATATGAACACTCCAATTAACAGCTTCTGGCCAAAACTCCTTAGACACGCTGCTCTTTGACATCACACTTCGCACCATATTCATGATTGTGTGATTCCTCCTCTCACATACACCATTCTGCTGAGGTGTATAGGCTGCTATGAGTTGCCTTTTAATGCCATTGAACTCACAAAAATCTGCAAATTAACTAATTAGTCAATAATTAGTAGCATACTAAGTATAAATAGATTACGTACGTATTATTGTAATAAGATTTTGTTTTTTTTGCACGATGTGAATTGGGACTTCATTAAGTAACGGATTGATCGATCGAGAACTTATTACTTTCGAAAGATGATTGTGATGAGTCCTAGC